TCTCGAAGGCGTTCGATCGTTTGGACCACCACATCCTCCTACACAAGCTTCGAGGCTACGGAATCGGTGACCCTGTGCTTGGTTGGATCGCCAACTTTCTCACTCAACGTCAGCTGAATGTGAGAGTCCGCAGTCCCATGTCCGACCCAACTGACGTCCAGTGCGGTGTGCCACAAGGGTCAGTACTGGGGCCACGTTTATTTTTAACATCCGTTAACGACCTTGCCAGTGTACTACAGTCGAACTTCTTGCTGTTTGCAGATGATGTCAAAATTTGACATGACATCCGGACAGAGGACGATCACACAACACTGCAGAGCGATCTGGACAGGGCGTACACTTGGTCATCCGAAAACATGCTCCACTTCAATGTCGCCAAGTGCAAAGTCGTGAGCTTACGCCACCAGCTCATCCATGAATACTTACTCGGGGACCAGCCGTTGCAACATGCTTCCAAGGAATGCGACCTCGGAGTGATCGTGCAGGACGACCTTGGCTGCTCCAGACAAGCTGAAAAGGCATCGAAAAGGGCCAGTCAACATCTCGGACTCTTACGGATGACTTTCGGAAATTTCGAGCCATCTGTATTTCCGCAGATGCTGAGCGCTTACGTGAGACCCCATGTGGAGTATGCGATCCAGGCCTGGCGTCCCTGGCGCAAGCGCGACATCAGTGCACTTGAAGCTCCACAGCGTAGAGCAACAAAGCTCGTCAGAGGCCTGTTTCACATCCAAAACCAACGCAGACTGCAGTCTCTGGGATTGAAAAAAAAAAAAAAAAAAAAACACCGAGGAGACCTCATCATGGTCTACTTAATACTGATGAATCCAAATCACCCATGTCGCAGTCTCTTGCAGCTGAGCCAAAATACCAACCTGAGAGGTCATCAGCTCAAACTGGCTACACACTACAGCCGACTTGATTGTCGACGAAACTCTTTCTCACTCCGTGTGTCTCGTGCTTGGAATGCGCTCCCCACTCACGTCGTCCTTGCCCCCACATTGGCACTATTTAAAAAACGCCTAGATGACACACTTTCCAACTTGCATTATTTGGCATAGCACGTCCTATTCGGAGGACGAAATAACGAGACCCAAACCATGAGATTACTGACCCTCCCCGCAAAGTGGAGGTGATGTTACATACAGAAGTGTCCCAATGAGCGACATGGATGTATACAAACTGGAGTAACGTACCACATCTCTCAACGGAAGCAACACACGAGTGAGCGTTATCCGTTCCTTTGATTTCTTTCTCCCACATTTGCTGTAATATAACAGCTCTACCTTGGGTGCAGAAATCCAGTCCATACTTCAAACTATCATTATGAAGTGGTGCGTTGAAATCTGTAAAGGCTTAAAAAACGATTTACTTGTTCGATTATCCATCCATTTTATCTATTGCTCCAACCACCCTACGGTACCTGTCAAGCATATGCTTTTTTACCCGTTATAAATCATTGTTCATTGTATTCGTAAGATATCGTTGCAAGAGTTCCTCATCCTGCTTCCTATCCAAGTAGATCAGAAACGGGCCAACCGTAAGTTTACCACACGTACAATAAGGAAATTTGGCCGCTTTTTAACTGCATCCGATATCGTCAGCAGACTGCGCTCACTTCCGCTTTACACACCCTTTGAGTTGACGAGTATCGAGTCTCCGAAACAAGCATACAAGAAGCGTGGATTTTGGTGAATTTGTGGCAAACTGAATTCGATTCCAATGATGGAACTTATATGTTCCGGGAGGCCGATGATGCAAGTTCAGCTCAGTCAAACAAATATGGTCCCTGTACCGAGATATGATGGACCCAGTCCCCGTGATACACATCGTCAGCATAAAAAGTGCTGATAATAATAATAGCGCAATAGAAATGAATAGAAAATGAAATCACCAGATTGAGTGGCTATGAACCAAAATAGTGGAATGAACTCAAGAGTGCCACTGACTTCGCGATTGCGTCATATACAAAAAAGTAAATAGTTGATGATGTGAATGAATTCGAGATCCCCATCCGACTGAAAGACAGACACCAGCTCGAATCAGCCTTTCGAAAACCTTCAGCTACTTTTGCTGTCACCAGAAAACTATCTCCAGGTTTCATCCAACTGAGCGCAACATTAGGGAACAACGCATGTGGAGCACAGGCCAAAACAAACGAAAGTGATTCGGCGGTACCACTGTCCGGTCAGATGATTCAGTCCTCAGAAATATATTAGAGCCTTAGCGGCAAGTGGCCGATTTCAGAACATATCCGGATTCTAATGGCCCACATATCGTTAGTGTAAGGTATACTATCATCACTATCCTCAACACTTGTTAGCTGAGTGTAAGAAACTACCGCTGACAACGTGCCGCAATACGAAAAAGATAAGATAGTAAAAAGTGCACGGAAAACAAATTCCAAAAGCAAGTAAGAAAAGGTTAAATATCATATTATACATTTGATATGAGATCGTAATCGGAGGGTGAGTCCAAAGATGGGGATGAACAAAGAAACAAAACAAACGCCATTGGGCCGACTCTTCACCATATCAGCAAGTGTGTCTAACCGAACGTGTCCATTGTCTTTGGGACCCCAGCCCGGCAGTCGAGATGCACCAACCGACGCCAACTTCCAAGTAAGGGTTTTATTACTCGACCGTCATCGCTTTTTCTCCCCACTTTCGTTTCCATCCAGACTCCGGGTGCGCAAACAACGCAAGTAACGGGAATCGGTGGGCTGCCAACATGTGGCCCAGGGATCGGAGCCTGATGCGTGACATAACGGTGCTGGGCGGCTCACTCGCTCTTCCTGCACCAAATACGCGACGCCAAACACATGCATTGCTCACGCGGTGCTCCAACCAGATATGAGCTAAGCTTCGAAGACAGCGATGGTCGAACATAGTTAGCCTCTTTATATTTGTCAACTCAATGGGTCAGATTTCACAAACATATAGCAGGGTTGAACAGACGGCTGCGTTGTAAACTCTGCCCTTCAGGGCGAGAGTGATGTCACGTCGGCGCCACAGGTGGCGGAGATTGGCAAAATTCCCTAGTTTTTGCTATATGGTTTGTGACCTCATCTTCAATCCTACGGGCGCAAGTATAGCTGCCCACGTAGTTGAAGTCATGAACAACTTCTAGCTGATTACCACCAAGGGTTACCGCAGGGGTGGGTTCCTGCCAATCTTGGAAGAGCACTTTATTTCGAGGGAGCAAAGCAAAGCCCAAAAACAACTGACAGCCAGCGCTAATCTGTCCAACGCTGCTTGACACGTTTAGGCGCTGTCACATACAAGAGCAATGTCGTCAGTAGACTCTAAGTCAAGAAGTCGCTCACAAGGAAGCAGGTTCACACCTTGTAGGTCGTGTCCAGTGGACGCCGTTTCCTTGACTTCGTCAATGGCGAAGTTAAACTGAAAAGGTGACAGCAGGCAACTTTGTGTCACACTGCTGGAAATATTGAACGGCGACGACAGTTTGCCATACTATGGTTCAAGAAGTTTGTAGAGTTTCTAGTAAGAACACCAAAACGTTCTGATCAAGTAGGTCCAGACGAACAACTGCATTTGGATTTGAATTTGGAACTACTCAGAGGTTAAGAAGTAGTGGATGAGACTCCATTGGAGTTCCGAAGGCTCAACTAGCTGAGGAGACAATGGGATTTCAGTTACCATCCGATGGCAAAGCGCACGAGACCCCAATGTGACCAGTTTAACGACAGAGATCAAAGATGTCGACACCGCACCGAATACCAAGAGACTAAGCGTCATGAGAAACTATGTTACGCAGCATCATTCGTATCTGACGGAAGTGCCGAATGAGCAGCGTTCAGCTTCGTCAAGTGGTTTGCGACTCACTGGTGTCACTCGGATGGCTCGTTACACTAGAACAAGTCATGCCAAGCTGTTCCAATGCTTATCAACCGGCTACAACGGTGCGCGCTCCTAACCGTCAGGGTATAGGACCGGATGCACAGCAAACGATGTATAGAAAAGGAATGCATAAACCGATGAAAAGACTTCGCAGAGTTGGTGTATTCTATTCTCCTCGATGGGAGGCCAAGGAGACGGTCAGTTAACCCATTCGACAAGACCGTGTTGCTGGCTCGCGGCTTCTACTCGTTAAACTTTCAACTTAACGTTCATATCCTTTCAGTCACTTCTCTACATGACTGAGTTCATAAACCTGCCCATGTTTACTAGCCCGTTCCATTTGCTAGCCACCATTAGTATGGCGAAATGGAGTATAACAACTAGATCCTTCATATTTCGATGCGCGGGGAATACGATGATCGGCAGACCTAAAGGCGCTAGTTACGTTCGACCGCCGCAACTTACCTCATGTCAGGTGGAAACACCACGTCAGCAATGAGCGTGTTAGGCGTCGTGTATTTGGTGCAGAAAGAACGAGTGAACTGTTAAGCCCCATCATATCACGCGCCAGGCTCCGATGGCTGTCACGTGTTGCGCACTGCAGCACACCGACTGTCGCGACGTGCGCTGTTTGCGCGCCGCGGGTCTGTATGGAAGAGAAGATGAGGCCAAGCGATGACTGGGTCAAGATGAATGAAGGCACTCATTTCAAACTTGGCGTCGGTTGATGCCTCTCAACGATTGGTACAATACAATAATTGACATGGCCAAGAACCGAGCTCAGTACCGTTTGTGTTGTGAGTTTCCTTGTCATTCCCCTCCCGCTTAGTTTCCCCCTTTAGAAACGATCTCACAGTGTGTGGACAATACTACACTTAGCATTATATTACTTACCTTTTTAGTTTTTTTGTATTCTGTAATGTTTAGTATGCTTTCCCATATATGTTTTGTATTGCGACACATTTAGCGGTAGTGTGTTTCTCACCTTCACCTAATGTGGAATGATGATGACGAGATAATAAGTCGGTGAATCGATTGAAAACACCAGAGGTGGGTAGGTAAATACAAAGGCTACAACATATAGTCGAAAGAACACGCAGCCAATAAAGTCGATTACAGTTAAATAGTCCAGTGACTCACTTGCACAAATCTGGATGCGTGTCCCTCAGTTTGTAAAGACACTGGCTCTCGAATAGCATGCAAGTCCAATAAACTGTGAGCAGGTTTCAAGCCTAACATTGCATCAATAAGAGTGACGATGAGGGGGGCGACCAAACGGGTTTGTTCGGGGGTATCAGCTAAAAGGACAAATAACAAATCCCATAGTATCTATAAACAAAATGCAGATACGGAAGTAAAAAGTAAGTCAATGGATAGTCTGAGAGGAAGTGCACTGCCCAAATTACAAATCAACTACAGGGGTACCAGTGACAAGAGCGGTCATTAATACTGCCAAATGCATTGGAGCAGTGAATTTGGCTTGATCTAACAATGCCTTCTGTAAAAGCCTCGGGATTTAAAGTTGAAGGATTAAGTAGTGTAATGACTAGAAAGAAGTGGCTGAAATGGCGTTTAGGGAAGTGGTAGATAAACAGTGCAACAGGATCTAACAGGGTCATCAAGGTGAAGGCATGGGACAGAAAGTGAGTGTCTAAACGTAATATGTGAATTCTGGTAACACCTGCTTGATGCATTGAAAATGGCATCAATATAAACGGGGGTCTCTGAGCTACCCGAAGTTACTGAAATTCAAAACCATAGCGGTGATCAAAACGAAGTGTAAGTCGTATTCTAAACTGAGTCCGGCCCTAGTGGAACGTGGGAGAATGCACAGATGTTCTTCTATCAAAGCAATATCGTATGAAAAACCCGTCCCAGTAAACATGTTAATGTTCTGACCACGGCTCACCCTGTGGGTTATACTGTAGATGGATGTCAGTGATCAATGTGAAATGATTATCTCAACCTACACTGCACACTGAGTAGAACAAGCCAAGCGGTCGCATGGCTAGCGTGTTAGCAAAGCCTCGGTCGGTAGCGCTATCAGCATAGGAACGGAACTTAGGATAATCTAGGGATCAGTATTTAATAAGCAGAACACAGGACCACTAGCATCTGGTTGGGGAGATGGGGTAGATTCCAGCGGCAGTTTATTGCTCAAGGATAAGGTCTGAGAGGATATAGGCGAGAGTTGAATAACACAGTCACATAGCTTAAACCAAAAGAGACCATGCATGTCACAAACTGTATTGATACTGATTTAAAAACGGTTAGATAGGACCGTAAAACGTTAACTGTGGATGAGAGGAGATTCAGCACGCTTCCAAGCAAAACAAAACTGTGTGGATCACATTTTGACTCAACGATGGTTGATGAAACAGCGTACTGCAGACCGAATAGTCAGGTTTCTCAATTTAGGGAACTCAATTCAATCAATCGGCCCGTTCTGTTGAGCGGCAAATGTGCAGTGTTCTCTGGTGCACTACATGTGCAACTCAGGAGCTTGGCAGGCAAAACCACATGGGTAACATAGTATGCGCAGATTTGTCGGTTATCTTTCTGGTAACAAATGGTGTGACGTATTTTAATGATAGCAATAGCCCAGTCTTTAGCTCTCAAGATACTGAACCCTAAATGTGCACAGAATATTTTGTGCAGGGCAGATAATACTCTTGAGTTAATAATACATGCGTTGATGAGTGTACTTGTCCGTGCAGGATCCTAGCGCAGCACGTGATTCACCGGACTGTGGTTCAGTGCATGTATTCTCAAACCTGACCCCTTTCTCATGGCCTCACCCTTGAGCACCAAAATTTCAGCAATCCGCAACGCATAGCAGATGTAAAGCTGCGATTCCAGTGGTCATATTGTTATCTTTTGTTACAATGATTATATTTTTAATGCTGACATCACTGCTCTTTCCTTTAGAATCCACGATTTTTTCCATTTAATGGCCTCCAGATAACATACATTGTGCAGCAAAATCAAACCACTTATCCATAATTACACAAAAGACATGCTCAATAGTTAAGATTGTACTTATTTATTGTTAGCTTTTACCTGTAAAACACATGAGGAATTAAGAGGTACAGCAAGTTCTTAACAATATTCTTGTCGAAATATTAATGCAAGCCTTGAGTCGAATGTCCTTGAGCAAGTTTTCTCATGTCCCGCTACAGACTTAACAGCGAAAGTTGAAGATCTTCTCTTGCTGTGATGTCCAATCTGTTGCCACTTGTTGGTAGAGAAACCACACTGTTGAATCCAAATTCAACCAAGCATGTGGATGGAAAAGCAAGGAAACATTTCAGTAACTTCCAAAATATGGGATATGTGTTAGAGGCATCAGCCTTTATCCAAAAATCCCATTTATCTTGCGTGAATCTGGATCTCGCTAGTGCGTCAATTTGAAGCTCTATAAGAATTCGCTGGATTTTAACTCCAAGATCGCAGGGTTGTACATTAACTAGATCCAAGATCTCCATCGGAATTTCAATGTCAATCAGGTCAAGAAACCCGTCTTTCATTTCTTTTCTGAGTTGTTGTAAATGACAGACATAAACAAGCAAGTCTTATTCCTTCAGCTCGCCCGTGGCTGAAGCGAGAATGGGGAACTCTGGAAATTCCCGACGTCCGATGTTTTGAAGATACACTTCCAGCTTGTTAAGAGAACCGATAGTGGACTTTTTTCCTGCGATAACATTACTCAACTTGCCTTGAGGGGTATTATTTAGTAAGCTGTTTTTCAAAAACAGCTGCACAAAACACGTCTGGTTTGATTGCTACTAATTTGCTTTCAATCAGTTTCAGAAAGAAATATGATGATGGTGTCCCAGAGTGCCACAAAACGGCGAAGACAGTCGGCCTTGGAGAGCCACCTTATCTCTGTATGCAACAGAGAAACCTCTAAATCTTCAATGTTCTCCTCATACATCTATTAAAAAAGACGATCACGAAGAGGGCGAGATTTAAAATTGTTGACTACTATTACAACTGTTGACAGTGAATCGTTTAAGCGTCCGGCCAATTTCTTAGTCACTGGGTGCTCTTGGTGAATCGCATAGTAAATTGTATGAACAGAAGGGAAAATATTTTCTGGAAGGACAATGAATTCTTTATATCTCCAACCACTGCGTCAGCACAAGCTGTTGCACCTGCAACTATGTTCTGCATTGTGATAGAGCTTTCATTCAGATAGTCATTGAATACGTCGAATATAGACTGACACGTTGAGTGTTATTTCCACCTGCCAACTCTCCCACTTATTTGCTATCATTGAGGAATTGGACATATGCCACGAGAAGAGCGTCTGCATCACGTAAAGTAGATTCAACTACGTGTAACGAAAATTTTCTGGACTGTAATAAAGTAACCAAGGTACTTTTTATGTCGTGAGACATTTCATCTATTCGCCTGGATACAGTTGAGTTGTTGAGCGGAATGGCTTGAACAGCTTCTTGAGGATCTATGCTCATCAGGTCCAACAGTAATATTTTCACACAAAAAAGGAAAAAGGTTAGACGCAAACCAAAAAATAGTCACTGAGGATGATTTTGGAAATACCGTGGATAACTAAAATGACGGAAGAAAATTGCATGACAAAAGCCAATAAGGAAGGAAAGCAAACATAAATTAGAAAATGGTAATACTCACTGGACACATTCACTGCAGAAACGTTACAGCAAACAGTGAAAACAGGTAAAATGAAGAAAGAAAATATCGGATAGTTCAAGAAACCAGCATGAGAGGGTCAACAACGAAACTACTGACGCACATCGGCTGTTGCTAAATGTGGCGTCAAACGCGTGTTGGCAAGGGATTTGATTATTATGAGTATCATGGGCAGTATCCTTACGTGCATGTTATGTTATACAGTCAAACCTAAGATGACCACTAAAGGGACCGACAGAAAGTTATCGCCTTGGACAAGTGGTCGCTACGAATAGGTTCATGCATAGGGACAGTACTCATATAAGAAAACGTTGGGGATGTCTTTGGCTGATCGCCATTGAGGGGTGATCGCCTTAGACAGGTGGCCGCCATAGTAAGTTGGACTGTATATACTCACCACAGAAACCAGATGTCCATACTCATGATGTAAGTTGAGAAACTGCTCTCCAGTTTGAAGACTTCATCTGAACTGGGTGTCAACTAAGCGTTATAACGCGTCCAAGTTGTTTCAGCTCTCAGCCGGAACGAATGAAAGTACTTCAGAGATAGCACCCTACGCGCGCAGAGTAGCCACTCGAAATCGGAACGTGAAAGGCTAATGTGACGTAGCCGTATGACGTGTATGCGAGCTGAGACTAGAGACGAAAAACGTGTAGCTCAGACCTACAGCACTGACTCAACGAGAAAGAAAGATGGACCGGCACACGAGTTGTCACCTGGTAGTAGTGTCTTGAGGAAAACTGTTAGTGTCAGTGTGGCTTTATACGGTAACTACTGCAGCGCGCTGAGGAGAGTTTAGCGAGTTCACTGTGGCTGGGCGTCGAATCCCTGGGGACGGTTAGGTTATCACTTGCACAGTCTGAGTCGCCGTATAGTGATTATAGGTCCGAAACGAGGCCAGCAAAATATGCGCAAGTTTTGCAGAGCTCCGCTAGCTCCGCAATAGAACGCCTCCCTGTTCTGACTTTTACAAATTCCTAAACATCCAAATGCGCATGCGTGATTCATTTCATTGATCTGTACTGACCAGGAGAGATTAGTGGCGGATAAAAACTATGAGAAAAATTGAGTTAATGAATTTCGTTATTTGTATTATCACAATTCAGTTTTCACAGCATGGCCCCCTAAATAATTTCCTCATCGCAGGGCCCCTCGGAACTAATCTATATGGTTCCCGTTGAGTATCGCTTATCTAGTGAACAGCTAGGAGGAAGAAGCTGAGGCTGGGAGTTTGGTAATTTGTTTAAGTTCTGCATGTGATGGGACACTCATATCACTGCTGGTAGTCACATAACTGAGGAAGTTACTTCGTGTATCAGTAAGGCCCGTGTAGCTTTCCAGAGAATCAACCATCTATGGAGATGGCCGGATATCAGCCTGTCAGTGAAAGGTCGGGTGTATAACGTTGCGGTAAGGTCGGTCTTACTGTATGGATCAGAGACCTGGACAGTTCGCGGCGAAGACATTAAACGTTTGGCCGTATTTGACTACCCGTGCTTGCGGAGTATTGCTCACGTCTGGTGGGAACACTGGGTGAGCAATGCTGAGATCCGCCAGTTGGTTTTCGGCAAGAAGCCTTCTGATGCCTCCGTCGAGTGATTGATAAATCTTAATCGCTTACGTCGGCT